ACGACCTGATTGCTTTAATCCATAAAGGGATTTATCCGGCCCGCCTGACACCTCTAAGCTCAATGCCCTCTGGGAATTTCATGTATATTTCATTATCCAGTGGACCATATAAGTATGCGGTTACAACATCCATTAACCGCAAGTCTAAATTATTTCTTATGGCCAGACTTATTAGGAATCGAAAGGTAGTAGCATCCACCACAGGGGAGTACGTCTCCTCATAATCTATTCCCGGTCTTTGTGAGAATCCTTGTGCAACAAGCCGTGCTTTATATCTCACGATTTCACAGTGTTCATTCCTTTTCCTCACAAAGACCCATTTATGTCCAACTGGCTTTATATCGAGAGGTGTCCTTATTATTGGACCTAACACATTCCACTTCTTTAATCATAGTTCGATCCTGCGAGTGGGCACCACCTTTTCCTTATTGTATTAGGGTTTACTCATAACCCCTTGTATCAATCTCTATATAAAGGAACATAAGCTAATGAATAAAGTATCTCAATTCCCTCTCTATTTTCTCTAGTTTATAACACATTATCAGCACGATTCTCTAAACCCTAAAAGCTAAAGCTAAAATCGCCCCTAAACCTTAAACCTAAAAGATCTCGGCGGTACTGTTCATCGTGATACTGTTCATCGCGGTTCATTGAAGAAGCTTGTGTTACCGAGGTATTTAGCTCCCGGTCCAAATCCATTCAGCATTCAATATGTGTTCAAGAGGTAAACATCATGAACCCTAAAACAATTGTTTCATATTTATAATCTTAAAACCATAAATACTTGAATATGAGATTGTTGTATGGATTACTTTTCACATGAAATTATGAAACCCTAGAGCATGTGATTGTTGTTTGAAGTACTTTCATATGAATTTATAAAACCCTATGAATATGAGATTGTTGTTTGAAGTACTTTTCACATGAAATTATGAAACCCTAAAACATGTGATTGTTGTTTGGACTGCTTTTCATGCGATATTTTGAAACCGTAAAATATGAGATTGTTCTTTGAACTGCTTTTCATGTAACCCTAAAATCGATTATAAACTTGTTTTTCATATGGATTGTTACTTGTTTATATTAATATGAATTTATGAAATCCTAATATATGATTAACATGAAAATCGAATATGAAAGCATGTGCACCTAGAACTGCTTAATAAATTTTAAAGTCTTAAGATCATGAAATTATATGCTTGAATTTGCATGATGAGTGTTTGATCTTATAGAAATCACATGCTAGGATGCTTGTTTAAAATCTCATGAATACTTGGTGAATATGAATGTCGTTTGGCATATATGAGATTATAAGACCATGAGATATGGGATAATGAGATATGAGATATGGGATCATGAGATATGAGATATGAGATATGAGAATCATGATAATCATAAGACATTGCATAGACCTTGTCCGGGATAATTGCTCGGAGAAAAGGGGACGCGGCTCGGCGAGTTTATACTCGTCTGAACTGATGCGCGGGCTACCTCTCTACCGAACGGTTGGAACGGGCAAAGGTAATAAGTAGTTTATAATGAAATCTAAAGATAAGCATATGTCCTTCTTTTCAAATGTCGAAACTGAATAACTTGGATTTTACCGCCCTTAATCTCTCGGGAGATAATTACTTGCAATGGGCGTTGGATGCTAAGATCATCCTAAAATCAAAAAGGCTCGGTGAATGTATTGTTGATGGCAATGACGAGCCCGATAAGAACAAGTATAAGGCAATATTAATTATTCGCCATCACCTTACAGAGAGTCTCAAGGATCAGTACTTGACTATTGAGAATCCCTTGGGTTCTTATCCATTGTGCGGATCAATGTGTGTGGGCACCACCTTTTCCTTATTGTATTAGAATCCAAGAGATTCTCAATAGTCAAGTACTGCTCCTTGAGACTCTCCGCAAGGTGATGGCGAATAATTAATATTGCCTTATACTTGTTTTTATCGGGCTCGTCATTGCCATCAACAATACATTCACCGAGCCTCTTTGATTTTAGGATGATCTTAGCATCCAACGCCCATTGCAAGTAATTATCTCCCGAGAGATTAAGGGTGGTAAAATCCAAGTTATTCAGCTTCGACATCTGAAAAGAAGGACATATGCTTATCTTTAGGCTTCATTATAAACCACTTATTACGATTGCCCGTTCCAACCGTTCGGTAGAGAGGTAGCCCGCGCATCAGTTCGGACGAGTATAAACTCGCCGAGTCGCGTCCCCTTTTCTCCGAACAATCATCCCGGACAAGGTATATGCATTGTCTTATGATTCTCATATCTTGTATCTCATGATCCCATATCTCATGGTTTTATAATCTCATACATGCCAAACGACATTCATATTCATCAAGTATTCATGCGATTTAAACAAGCATCCTAGCATGCGATTTCTATAAGATCAAACACCCATCATGCAAGTTCAAGCATATAATTTCATGATCTTAAGACTTTAAAATTTATCATGCAGTTCTAGGTGCTCATGCTTGATCGATTTTATTTTAGAGAAATATTAAGGTGATCATGTATTCATATTCGATTTCCATGTTAATCATATATTAGGATTTTATAAATTCATATTAATATAAACAATCAACAATCCATATGAGAAACAAGTTTATAATCGATTTTACAATTCCAAAATATCGCATGAAAACAGTCCAAACAACAATCACATATTTTAGGGTTTCATATTTGCATGTGAAAAGTACTTCAAACAACAATCTCATATTTTTAGGATTTTATAAAATCATATGAAAGTACTTCAAACAACAATCACATGTTCAAGTTTTCATGGTTTTAATTTTATAAACATGAAACAATGGTTTTAGGGTTCATGTTGTTTACCTCTTAAATGGATTATGAATGGATTTGGACCGGGAGCTAAAGACCTCAGTAACTCAAGCTTCCGCAACAAACCGCGATGAACAGTACCAACGATGAACAGTGTCGGCGATGAACATTGTCGCGATGAACAGTACCGAGATGAATAGTACCGCCGATATCTTTTAGGTTTAAGGTTTAGGGGCGATTTTAACTTTAGTTTTTAGGGTTTAGAGAACCGTGCTGATAACATGTTATAAACTAGAGAGAATAGAGAGGGAATTGAGATGCTTTATTCATTAGCTTATGTTCCTTTATATAGAGATTGATATAAGGGGTTATGAGTAAACCCTAATACAATAAGGAAAAGGTTAAACCGTCTTAACATAGACGGGCCGGGCTTGTGATGGGCCGGGCCAGACTGGGCTTGTTATGACAATCCATCATATGGGTTATAAAATATTTCAAGAAAACCAGTTAGTTATTAAAATTTTGGGTATCCCTATATTAGTAAAAGAGAAGTACAAAAAGTGCTTCCGGGTCGGATCAATTTTAAAAAATTACCCGAAATTTATAATTGGATCTTTTAAAGTTGGATAGATCAATAGGTTTGGATACATACACCGGATACTTTCCAAATCTAATTTTAGAATTGTATTATTTCCATAACTAATTATAGGATTTATTAATATTTCTCTAATTAATTTAATACAATCTATTTAAAAAAAAATCTTCTTTCACGTTTATTTGATATTACTTTTAATTTATGATATTATTTAATAATAATTTAAATAATACTCTACTTGCACTATATAATATAATTATTTAATAAAAATTTAACTCTTTTTTGCATATGTTGCAATTTGAATTTTTCAAAACGGACATATAATACTCAACTACACTCGGTTAAATATTTTGGACAATGGCTTAAAATCATTATAAGTATGACTAATATTTAAAATTTCAAATAGTTTCAAAATATTATAAATAAAAGGTTCAAATATATAAAACTTTTAGAGTTTTAAATATTGAAATATTTTTGAAGACATAAATGTAATTAAGGAGACATCATTTTTATTGATAAAATATATTATATATCAAACTATGTAAATTTAGATAATTCACAGGTAATTTGTTTTTTTTTTTTTTGTTATCATTACAAATTATACGTTTCTCTTTGAGAGGGACCGGACTCGAACCCGGATCTGGTGAAAAGGCAACAGAGGTGAGAACCACTAGCCCACTTGTCCTTCTCAGTAGTTTGTTAAAATCACAATTATAATGATAAAGCCAGTTACGAATAATGTTTTTTACGAATGAATTCTGTTACGGGTTGGACTTTCAAAAAATATATTGTAAATATGTAATTTTTACGTATATTCCTAATTTTACTACAAAAATGGTCAAAATGAATAATTTATCGACAAATATTATTTCGTGCTGTTAAATTTTCACCGTGTTTTTAGTTGTATCAAAACTCAGTATATGATTATTTACTTGCTTTTTCCTTTATTATTTTATTTAAATTTATTATACAAATATATGATTTACCGTAATCGACTGCATTCTAACAAAATTAAAATGTAACATATTCTAATCCGTTAAAAGTTATATATATGTAATTATTTCCCCCGCGCTGTAGCGCGGGTCCGAACCTAGTTAGGATAAGATTTCGGTATTTATCAGTTCTAAAATTTTAGCTTTAGTCTATTCGGTCTAAAATGTTCTAAAATTTTAGCTTTAGTCTATTGGGTCTAAAATGTTTTACCCAAGAAATCAAAACTCGACCCGAGTAGCTACTACAGTTATGACCCTGGTGAATTATTGTTCTGCTTTGGCCATTATAAATCACAAACATAGAATGATCTGAACTTAAAGCTATATAGATATATCTTGATTCATTTTACGAAAAGAGATTATTGATATCATATAATAGTACAAAAGAGAACCAAGATCAACTTGACATGTGATAACAATGGGAATGCATGCAAAAAAAAGCAAGAAAGAAAGAGAATGCATGCAAACTACTAAAGGGGAGTACGTGCATTACAAAACTCACTATTGTTTTCCGACGATACCCAACGGCCAACGCCACCAACATTTCCAAACATTTACGTTTCCAACAATATTCGTGGCACCGCCTCAACACCACCACCTCCGACAACGTTGTTTCAAACAACATTACCAACAATCTTATCACCACCTCCACCAGAATCGGCACTTCCACCAGCGCCACCAGAACCACTTGCTCCACCAGTACCACCAGCACCACTAGGACCACCCGCACCACTAGGACCACCAGCACCACTTGCACCACCGGCACCAGTAGCACCACCAGCACCACTTGCACCACCACTACCCCCGGCATCAGTACCATTAACACCACCACTAGCACCAGCATCAACACTACCAACACCACTAGCACCACCACTACCCCCGGCATCAGCACCACCAACACTACTAGCACCACCGGCACCACCATCGCCACTCGTACCACCAGCACCAGTAGCATCGCCATCACTACTAGTATCATCACTATCACCAACAGTACCACCAGCATCAGCACCACTAGCACCACCAGCACCACTTGCACCACCAGCACCCGTAGCGCCACCGGCTCCACTAGCACCACCAGCACCACTTGCTCCACCGGCACCGCTGGCAGCACCAGCACCACCAGCACCGCTAGCACCAGCAGCACCACCAGCACCACTAATACTACCACTAGAAACATCGGTACTAGTACCACCATTTCCACCAACACCACCGACATCATCTCCAAGAACATTGTTTCCATTTGCACCACCACTAGCACCACCAACACCAACATCACTAGCACCAGCAGCACTAGCACCACCAGCACCAGCACCACGAGCACCATTTTTACCACCAGGACTACCTGCACCACTGGCACCTCCGGCACCACCAGGACCACTAGCACCACCGGGACCACCTGCACCGCTAGGACCACCTGCACCACTGGGACCACCCGCACCACTAGGCCCACCAGCACCACTTGCACCACCAGCACCACTTGCACCACCACTAGCACCACCAGTAGCACCACCACTAGCAGTACCACCACCACCAGCATTGGCGCCACTGGCACCACCTGCACCACTTGCTCCACCAGCACCAGTAGCACCACCAGCACCACTAGCACCACCGGCACCACTAGCTCCCCCTGCGCCACTTGCACCACCGGCACCACCAGCACCACTAGCACCGCCAGCACCACCAGCACCACTAATGTCACCGCTAGAAGTATCGGAACTAGTACCACCTCCACCAACACCACTATCACCGACTCCTACGACAATACTATCAGCAACTCCTTTGTGATCAATTCTTCTAGCTCCACTTCCTACAATTCGCCTTGGAGCAGCTCTTCTAACTCTACTTTCAACAAAACCATTGATACCATACGTAATGCCTATTTCACCTTTAAAAGGACTAACACTTTTTCCACCTCCGCCACCACCAACTCCGCCTTCGGCTTTGATATTAGAACTTGCACCTCCATCTCCGGCTGTAATACCACCACCTAGAGCTTTTATCCCACCGTTGGCACCACCATGAGCTCCTCCATTTATATAATGTCGGATTTTGCCGCTGCCACGGCCACCTATACCAGATAACTTTCCCAACACTTGGATTGACATCAGTAACATCAACACACATGCCATTACCCAATCTCTTCTCATGACCATCCCCATATATACTCTTACTATCTCTCACTTTAATAAAATATTAATACAGTCACAAGCAGATTCTGATCAAGACAGATTATGAAACAATATAAGCTCAATCAGAACCTGCTATTTGAGTACAGAACTTGGCGGGAAGTTGTGTATTTATAGCAAAAAATCATTAGTAGCAAGCACACACACATACGTGTCCACTAATCACTGGTTCATTACTAATATGAAAACCCACCCAACAATTGATCAAACGCGTCGGCATAGATAGTCTTTTGTAGTACGATATTATATTAAAGCTGATAATGATGGTCACTTGTAAGAACACTAACTCATGCCTTCTTGCTCTATTCATGTAACGTCAAGATATTAAATAAAACTGATAATGATGATCACTTGTAAGAAATTATCAGACAATATTCTTGGTCCATTCATTTAATTAACAGTACTTCCTATAGTGGACTATTATAAGGATGTCATTGAAGAAGAACATTTAGAATTCTACTTGCCTAATGTACTAAAGTTGCATTCACGAAAGAGGTGTGGCTATGATTTTTCGATATAGCCTGGCTACTACATTAGGAGCATTTAGACCTCAACGGTTTATTATTGGTATAATATATGTTCTAATATGTTGTTAAAAATATTTCTATTTAGCTATTTATGAAATTTTATAGGATTACTATTTTCTTATTTAGTTTTCTCGTTGGGTTTTACTTCTACTCTTTATTATAAAGAGAGATGAAGTCTAGGTTTTAAGGCTCATCCAAGCTAGAGATCAGTGCTTTGGAGGTTTCAATCGGGTTAGGCCGAGGGAAGAACTTAGTTCTCTTTAGGATTTGGTCTTCTTGTTCTTGTCTTCTAAATCTTAATAAAGAGGATACTGAGTTTTAATTCTAGTTTGTGACTCTTGTTCTCTAACACTTGTTCCAACATGCCTAAATAATTGCTATGTAAGGGCAAGTCACATTTTGAATCTAGCCTTGAGGACAAGGCCGGTTTGGAGCGCTCCACAATGTTACAAAAATTTCTATTTAGCTAATTTGGAAATTATATAGGGTTGCAATTTTCTTATTTACTTTTCTTATAGGTTTTTACTTCTACATTTTATTATAAATAGAGATGAAGTCTAGTATAAGTTGTAAGACTCATCCAAGCTAGAGAGTGCTTTGGAGGTTTCATCGGGTTAGGCCGAGGGGGGAACTTAGTTCTCTTTGTAATTTGGTGTTCTTGTTCTTGTCTTTTAAATCTTAATAAAGAGGACAGAGTTTTGATTCTGGTTTGTGACTCTTGTTCTCTATGACCCTAATGTATGAACGCGTAAGTATATAACCTAATCGAAACTGCTTCATAGCGATGAATAAAAAGGAAACCCAAGTTTAAGATGACAAAAAAATGTACTCTAGTGGGAAAAAACATGATAAAGTGAAATAAACAATATACTTGATAATTGTCAAATAAACAAAATAATAATATGCTTTGAGCATGCCGACTTCAAAAAATGCTTTCAATATACTTTGGGCATATATGTAATCAGCGAAGTTGTGACACTGTGACTGACTAATCCCTGCTCTCCACTCTCTTCCTCAACTTGAGATTCTTCCAAAAAGCTTGTTGACTTTATTATTTACAGTTGCATAGCACAAAATAAATTACGGAATTGAAAGATTTGAGCTTAATTACGGCATCTTAGATTATTACTTGGTTAAGGTTTATACGTTGCAAATTTGTTAAAGATTTTACATAGGAATAATTAGAATTTTGAGCATGTGGAAGTTCTCTTGGTCTGCTACTTTTATAGTTTCACTAGGTTGTGAACCCACGCTACGCATGGGTTTATTTAATATATTTTGCTAAAATTATATTTGATTGATGATAGTTATAAAGTTTTTATACAGAAAGTTAAATTATTATTAAAGCATAAAAATTTATTTCAAATACACATCTAAAAAAATTATAAAATCAATTTTTATAGGAATCAAATAAAATCAAAAGAATCATGAACCAATCTTGTTTTTTTCATATTTAATTGGGCACAATTACCTATGTCTTCTTCTTTTTCCCCACATTCATCGTTTTCATATTTTTCATATATATATGGGCAAAAATAGTTTATGTCCACACAAATCACTTTGACTATGTATCTATCAAGTCGTTGGTGAGCAAGAGAGGATCTTGGGGTGGGAACTATAGTTGATCACCAATATTGAGGGTTTGATGCATTTCCTTGTACTTTTAGGTTTTCTTTCTTAAGCGTTTTTCAGCCTACTAATGGTTTACTGAAACAGAAGTAAATCATGTTGTTTCCTTTTATATAAGGTTTAAAACTGTCACAAGTGTTTATCCTCACCACCTCACATGTATAATGGTGCTCTTGGTTGTCTTCAATCTTTGCAACATCTTTCATTGTCTCATTAGTTTGAGACCTAGAAGGAACGACAAACATGGGCACCATAAAGGTTAATCATAGCTTCATAACTTTATCTGACAGTTTCACATCACATATTTCTTCACAGAAATACTTAATAAGTTGATATAGGTCAGCATGGAATTATATATGAACTCTACATCTAGGGTGGAAGAGTCCGTAGTTTCAACATCAATGGCACGAAGCAGATCTTCTTTATGCTTTCTTTCACTGATATCTTTCATTTTCTGCCACTAAACTTGTATTTGGGCCATAACAACCATCTATACTTGATATACTGTGCCTTTCATAATACTTTTGCATTTAGTTTTGGCCCACAAAATTACATAGCAACCCTATTAGTACCACCAGTGGAGCTGGTCTAAGAGATGCTTAGGAGCACCGGTGCTTAATGAAATTTAAGGTGGTTACTTATGAATAAAATTGATTAATTAAATGTAAAAACACTAAAATCAGCTAAACATTGTTGCTTAAATAGGGTGCTTAAGATTTTCAAAGCACCGCCTACGTGTCGTTGTGTGATTGGCTGATAAATAAATATAAAAGGAAAACAAATTATCTTCATCATTTTTCTTTTTCATAACTCTATCTCTTCTCTCCTTCCTCTCTATTCTCTTGACAGAAAAAGAAGAAAATCATATCAACGAAGCAATTTCCGGTGATTTTCTCAAATGGAGTTTCTCATGCTAAGTAAATCTAATAATTTCTATGTAATTGGGTATCTTTGTTACAAAGTTTGGGTTAAAGGAATTGGGAATTAGAAATTGATCCGTATTTTTTATAACTAGTGTTGAATAGTCTGTAAGTGTGTCAAATAGGTGTGTTTGTAATAGTTGAACAGAGGAAGAGAGATTAAAAAAAAAAAAGAGAACAAATTTCAAAAAGCCATGTACTTTCTTGGTTCCACTAGGGTGACGGTATGTTAGCAAAAAGCAATGGACTTTCCTTAGATGTTTTTGGTTTCTTACACGCGGTTTTGTTGCTGGTCATGTTTTGCTCATGGGTGGGTAGTAAAATTAGGGGAACTAATGGTTATTAGAGCTTTAAAATATGAAGGGTTTTGGGTTTAAGTTTGCTATGTTTTGTAGTTTAGCCTTGCTCTGCTTAACTAATCTCGTGCTGATGTCGTTGAGTGGTTTCTATTGGTACGAGAGTGGTTGGTCAGATAGTGGCTAGCTTTCTTCCCTCAGGTTTCTACATGGAGTAGTTTCTTGGGTGGTTTTGTCGATTTGTTTGCATCGTTACAGGGACTCAGTGTTCTACTCACTTTATAAATCTGTTTTGATGTCATGATGATGATCTTGTGTGTGAGTATTGAGAAGTTCTTGTGTGTCACTTTTGCAGGCAAAAACAAAGATGAAGTTGAGGAAAATTGATCAAAAACCAAAGAGAGCCTTGGTTAAGCTAAGCTTGCTTTGTATGTTTTCTTCCCTTCTTTAATGACCATTGTATTTTTAGGTGCCATATGTGTATGGTAATTTTTTTTAAGCACCCTTCCATTGGACAACAAAAACTATTAAAACTAATCTAAAGATACTAAAGTTAACAATTGTCAAATTTATTAACAATGGAGGGTTCTTACCATTGCTGGTGGTCTAAGAACACAATTTAAGTAACTATGCTTAACTATTTTCCATTATTTTGGATTAAAATTTATTTTATTTAAGATTAAGCAACCATTAAGGAACCCATTAAGCACATCCACTAGAGGTGTTCTAAGGGCAGGGGAATAGGCAGTCCTTGCCATGTCCCCCAACCCAAAAAAAAAAAAAAATTATAGGCGGAACGTACGTCCAAGAAGGACGGTCCTCTGCCTTGTTCGCAGGCCCCACTGACACGTGGCGGCCTGCGATTGGTCGTCTGTTTTTTTTTTAATTGTAAAGAAAAAAAAACAATTAAATTTTTTTTTTTGGACCGAATGGCAGTCCTTGCAATGCCCATCGTCTAAGGTACTTTGTTAGATACCAGCACTATATTTAGAATTAAATGCACTCATAGTCATTTTCTCAAAAGTAATAGTAAATTAAAGGGAATATTATTGAAACTGCCAGTTTCAAAGCCCAAATAATCGAAACTGCCAGTTTGGGCCAGGTTTTGTAAGGAGTGCCACAATGACAAGTTGAAATGACGAAACTACCCTCCGACCTTGGGGAGGGTTTGCGCGCGGCGTTCAAACATGGTTCAACTAGACAGATTTGTCTGCAGGACAACAGTTCGCATTTATTGTGGACAAAGAGAAGCTTCTACCCATAGGATAATAAGAAGCTTTTAGTTTAGTTAGTGTTAACCTAAAACGAAAAGTAGATCTCAGTTGTTAATGGAGGACAAGTGAGAGATTTTGAGATTTCTTAAGGATTTTGAGCAGAGAGAAGATCCGAGTTTAGTAAGTGACATTCTGGGTTTGTGGAGGAGTCTCTTTGTGGAGGGTAAACGCAGAGGACAAGATCGGGTAAGGTTAAAATTCGTCCATGGTTTGTTTACTGGTAGTGTGTAAACACCATTTATATCTAAGATAAATACATTTACTACTGTTGAAAAAATGTAGTTGGGAGGTTGAAATGAAATAAATGTTCTCTTTGGCAGGTTCTGG